AAGTTTATATTTAAAATATAAAAAAGAAAATATTTTATATAAAAAAGATAAGTTTAGTACAAATTATTTTTAATTAAATTAATTTTAAAATTAAGATTAAATTAACAAATATTATTTCTATAAAAATAAATGAAAAACGTATAACTATAAAATATTACAAACAAAACTAATTTATATAAAAATATAAAATAAAATAATTATAACACGAATTTTATTTATATAAATAAGTATTCTATAAAAATAAATTATATATATATATATATATTTTTTTTTTCGATATATGATGTATATCTTTGATCATAAATGTTTTAAAAAAAGCAGGCACTGAACTATTTTGCTGTAATCATATATCTACTACTGTATAACGGAGCAAAAATAAGAAATGAAAAGCGTATGAAAACCATTCAAAGCTCAAAAGCTCCAATATGGGTGGAGAGGTGAAGAGGTTGGACTGATGTGGGATTATCTGGAGCTTCTGAAGCTTTCGTCTCTCATCCGCTGTCTGCCCCACTGACCCTCCCAGCATGCACTGCTGCTCGCTCCGTTCCCATCACATTTATTTTTCCCCATCAGTTTCTCTGTAAAGCGTAACTGACTGGTGCAGAAGATTCGGCCAGAAAGGGCCGGCAACATTTCGCAGACGCAGCTTCTTCCTGCTGCTTTCTAATTGCAGTTCAGAGATTCACAGCCGGCCGACCACAGCGCGTCCTTCACCAAAGTCACGAGTCACAGACTTCACAATGTTATTCACAGAAAACCAAAGGACTGAGAGGAAAACATTAAACCCATGGCCAAATCATTTATTATATTTTTAAAACACTACAAATTATTTCAGATGTTTTTAAAATGATAATGCCATGTGAGCACAGGCATAAGCATGACATTAGCATAAAAAATGTGTGCGTTTTCTTCAACGTCAGTGCTTGTGTTTTTCTTTAAATAAATTGCTCCCATTAATTCAAAGGACTGTGTCAAACCCCTATTAATTCTCTCAGTAGTGTTCGGCAGTTACTGTACCAAAATGTAATATCATGATGTGAAAAAATGTATGTCTGTAATTGTATCACAACATAGTCTCTTATATATATATATATATATATTACATTAATTTAAAAAATTTTATAATACATTATAACTTTATTGCATTATTGTATTTTATCATATATAATTTAGTACAACAAACATTCTCTCTTTCTCTCTATATGTTTATTAAATTTGCTTTTTAATATATTATGTTAATATGTTTTTATATTAATTTGACATTTTAATAATATATATTCATGCAACAGTGGTCTCTTTATATATATATATATTAAAAGAGATTATGTATTAACATGATATATGTAATAATAACAATGTACTTCTAATATGATAATATATTTAAAAATCTCCTTATCTGTGCAATTGTACCTAGCATGCTATAAATGGAAAAAGGGGGGAGGGGGGTGGAAGGAAAAGCAGAGGTCCAGCCCTATTTTGCTCTCGTCTCTGTCACTCACTGGTTGTACTGGACGCTGTAGAGAAGCGTTTGACCCGGAACATCAACAGGATCCCAATGGAGAACGCTGAAGAAATTCCTGGACTCAAAATAAGCCTTCGTGCGATTACAGCTCTGACCCCAGCAACCTGCAAGACAGAACAATAAAGGCGAGATGGTTTTAGAGGTCTGTGAACATCTTCCATTGTGTTGTGACCATCTTAGGTATATATAAATCAACTAATGATGTTCTGGTCTGAATGTCTTTTGTCTAAAAGCAAAGTGGACACTTTGTCCCTCGGGTCGGTTTTTCCATTTATACTCCACAGCTGATGCGGTTACAACAATAAGCAATAAGATACTCGAGGCGTGACTTATTCACAATACAGCACGCCATGAGTACCTTATTGCTTTTATAAAACGGTTACCACACAAAATTATTAAAACCAAAAATTTATGTATTGATGTTACTTTTTTGAAGTAAATTCAGTAAATGTTACCCTTCCGCTAAAAAATAGTTCCTGACAACAACAGTAAACGGTAAGAGAATGCTCAGGTGTAACATTCCTCATCTTTTCGATCTCAAATAAAAATACAGAAAAGTAACTGTTCTCATCTGCAATCTCGTTTATTTTTTAACACCATATCCACCTTAAGGTGCGTTCGACTTGAAGCACGGCTACAGTCGGCGATCAACGAGAGTAGCCGCTTGCAGTCGGGGGCGGAGTTGAAAACGGAGCTGTCAAGCCGGACACTTTCTGCTCCCGTTAGTGACGCTCACGCGGTGTTTGCATACGCTATCACAGATGAAGTGAATTAAATGCAATATTTGTCAAATACACAGACGTTTCAGAAACGCGAAACGCTCTCGCGGTACTTTGAATCTACATGTGACAGTGACGTGGCGTCGGCGCCGGTTCAAGTCGGACTAAATTTCTAACCGGCATGCACTGCTTCAAGTCAGCCGCCGATCGGTTTGCGCGGCGCCGCATGAAGTCGAACGCACCTTTATTCTTCCCGTAAAAATGGGTATTTGTAATTTATAAATTCTATACTCCCGGTCTCATTCGCTTCCAGCTATTTTTAACAGTACAAAACCGCTCCTTTTGCTGCTTGATATTGCAAATTGGTGTGTCTTACCATATTATTTAATGTATTATCTTCAGAAACGTTTTCATGAGCAACAGAAACACTTTTTATATACTGCTTAATACTGTCTGAATCTGTTCAAGAATAAAGTTCAAGGTATATATATACTAAATTAAATACTAATAAAGTGGGGGTATATATGCTTTCATGATAAACGTGACTCAATATAACATTGCGATTACAGTAAAAAAGCTTTTACTGTTCTAAAAACAGAGTTATGAGCAGTATTGGATTTGAAGATGTTAGAAACACAAGTCAACCTCATTATTTCTCATTAATAACCTAACTGAAGCAGCACATGCCCTTGATACGAATTCTAAAAGTGACGCATGTTTAACTGTCAACTTGAGCTTTGAATCCGTGGCGGAAGGAAGTAGTTCCGCACAAAAAAGGGTTTTATTAGGCACTCCGTTGTTTCTTGTTTAATTACAAACATGTTCCGTCGAACTGTTGTATAAACGCAATATCACTCTCGTACTCGATATTGGTCATATAAACACTTGTTTGTAGTGCAAACAGTTTTACCATACGTTGTAATTCTACTCGTTATATTCCTATAGCGGCTAATGAACCGGAAGTGTCGCCCATAGGCTTACTTCCGCGTTGAAGAATATGCTGGATATAATATTTTCTCACACACACACATCTGCTTATCTCACAGCATGAGAAAACGTCTCTTTCCTGTCTTTTAGTTTAAAGCAGACCGATTCGCGACACCTCGCAAATGTGGAGGCATCGTTACAGTGTAAACTGATGGACATACAGTAACATATCTGAAACAGAAACGAATAAATACAGTAATATTCAGTTTTGATGCTATATTATAGATTATGTTGCTACGGATGTTGCGCAGTGATACACAGAACCGTTGGGTGAAGCGGTCATAGCCGCGCTTTATCATGAATAAAACACACCTGCTGACCAATCAGAATCGAGGACTGGACCTAACCGTTTTAATAATAGTGATGGGAAGATCGGATCATTCTACTGACTCGGATCTTTGAATCTCGTTGATCAAAATGAACGAATCTTTTTTCTGAGTCATTTCGTTCATTTCAGCAGAATATAATTAAAAGGTTACATATTAATAGCCAAGTTCCACAACACATACGCAACATTTCGAATAAGACTGTCAATGCTATAAAACTATAATGCAACCACGACCAAATTAAATGATGAGAAACAGTAATGATTAATTCACTGTTTTAGGTTATGCAGTCTGTTTCCTCACCTCCCGATCTTTATTGTTCGTTCTTTTGTCTGTTGCGTGCCTGCTTCCCGGCTCAGTATTTTACAACAAACACAAACATTGCATATTATTAACTGTTTGCTGCTATTATATATAGGTATCTTTGCTTTATCAAAGTGATTTTTCCTCATCATATGGATAAAGTTTAAGCCTCTTTATTATCACATTCAATGTTAAGCATCATGACAGAAATTTGCAAATGTATAAATTGTAAGAAATAAAAAAGCTACAATTTGAGACCAGAAACACATCACATAATTGTAAACGTGTTTATAAGGAAGGTTGGGAATTATTAACTCATTTCTGTATCAAATACTGCTGTCACTTCACGTGTCAAAAGAACAAACGAAGACTCGAGAGGTGAACTAATAATTTCTGTTTACTGTAAAGAATCAATAGGATGTTGTGCATGCGCGGTCAACATGAAATTAACGAATCTCTCGCTGAGACGACTTGATGTTCCCGAGTTATATTAAAGATTTGTTCAAATTGAACGAACCGTTCATGAACGACACATCACCAGTGTTGGGGGGTAACGCATTACAAGTAACGCGAGTTACGTAATCAGATTACTTTTTTTCAAGTAACTAGTAAAGTAACGCATTACTTTTTAATTTACAATAAAATATCTGAATGACTTTTTCAAATAAGTAACGCAAGCTACTTTGTTTTCCCATTTATTGACTGACAGCTCTCCTGTCCCCAAGAAATGGGAAGTAAGTGCAGAGGCGTTGTGTTTGCTGAGTGAACATGATGTTACTGTAGTTCTAGACTAAATATGATTATGCATTCTCTCATTTCACTCGAACAAAAACAGATTCCGTATTCTTCAAAATGAATGGAAGCAGTGCAATGCAAACCTGCAATAATTAAATGTATTAAATAACACAAATATCTTTTATGCATTTAATCACATTTTATTAACCAATGTCTTTGCTGCCGACCTTCGATGATCCAATTCAACCATATTAATAAGCAAAAATGTCTTAAGATAAACATGACATTTCTTTTTCTTTTTTATTGCTGCAGAGTGTTGAACTTTCTTCTCCTACATTCTATGTTTCATGCAGTCCAGAATGACTGAGGGTTATTTATTTCACTTTTGGTGCGAAAGGACCTTTACATTTGCCCAAAATAGAAATTTATATACTGTATATATATAT